AATTTGGAAAGTGTTTTGTTTTTTTTAACATTTGGTAACATATGCCTCTGTTAGGCACAATTTTTTAATCATAAGCTGATAATTTTTAGATTTGTCATGGTAAACCTGCAAGGGACACAACTCTTGTAGAATGAACATTGTAAAATAGCTAGTCTGTATTGAATTGTTGTTTGGTATACATTTGGTTTTGCATTATTTGTTGTGCAATTTCGAATTCGACTTCTTTTCAAACATTGTATAAATTTAAAATGTAGCTGACTTTGACATTGGTATTCATACTTTTAGATTTTTTATGAATTGTCAAGCAAACGCGATTATAAAGCAAGAATTTCAAACAAACAAAAAAAGAAATACTAACAGGAAGATTCGAAAGGTTTCAAACATGTAGAAATAGTCTCATGGTTTAAATAAGATTTGGATTTATATATATATATATATAAGTTTTAATGGATGCTAAACATCCAGCCACAAATATTACATACATATTCAGGATGATAACAGGTTAATAAAACATGCATATGAGGTAACTGATAATCAATATAAGACAATTTATTGATGTATAACTCACTTTTACAGTACTTTTACCATAAAGAACCAGAGAAATATCTTCAAATAGAGATGACCAAGAACAAAAAAATGATATGTCAATGAGTGCAACAAAGACAATATTTCATTTTTCCTAGTGGCTGCTTCACATAAAAGTCTTGTTGTATTATCACGTTTATATCACGTGGCTTTATATTTAACGTGAATATCACGTTGTATTATCACGTTGATATCATGTGGATTTATATACAACGTGAATATCACGTGTGACGAACGTTTATTTCATGTTGTGCTCACAACGTGAATATTACGTTTCTGCTCGTTTCACGTTGTACTCACGTGGTGTGGACAACGTGAATTTCACGTGATTCCCATGTTAAAATCACGTTGGAAAAAATTGCCTGTGTACGCAAAAGCGTCAAAACCAGGTAGATTGCAACTTTACTAAATATCACTAGTGGAGCAAAACTGCAATTACCCACATGGAGAACATGAATTCAGCCCTGAGTTTCTCAATCTTTTGTTTCATGTGAAGTTGATGTGAAGTTCATGTGGGGTTCGTGTTTATCAATCTTCAGTTTCATGTATAGTTATAGTTGGGTTCGTATTTCTCAATCTTTAGTTTCATGTGAAGTTCTGGTGGGGTTCGTGTTTCTCCATCTTTAGTTTCATGCATATGAAGTTAATGTGGGGTTCGTGTTTCTCCATCTTTAGTTTCACGTGAATTTAATGCGTGGTTCGTGTTTCTTATTTTTTTATGTTTCATGAGAAATTCTATTAGGTTCCTGTTTCTAAATCTGTAGTTTCATTTCATGTGTATAAAGGACCATCGTTTGTTATTCAGCGTTCTTCTTTGGTGTAGTATGTTTTTATTTGACTTATGGTTGTTGATGATCTCCTTAGCATCTTCTCCTTTTTTAAACACCATGCAAATTCAGGAAAGCTTTTTGGCTATAGCAAGTTTAAGCAATACTAATTCCAAATTATACAAGAGGATTTTGAAAGGCAAACTTTGGTTTCATATGAAAAATTTGAATATCAATGATCATATGTGACAGTGTACACGGTAGGTATAGTGTCCGGCTAGGATCGTTGTTTTTCGAGTGATTTGATCGGGTTTTTTCGAGTGTGACCACTTTTTTTCGAGTGATTTGATCGGGTTTTTTCGAGTGTGACCACTTTTTTTCGAGTGAATATGATCAAAAATGTAAACAAACAGACTTACTTTCTGAAAAGACGTGATATAGAAGCTTGAGTTTAATATACAAGGATATACAAGGTGTGTTAGTATTTGAGATAAAAAGATATTATCAATCCGACATTATTTTTCGTTCAAAAAGTTGAATTTAGCCTTACAATGCTTTTATTCCAAAAAACAGAATAAAGCCATTTTTATACACATACCAATGCAAACGTCGATGGAAATGCATACATGGAATCCATATATCCTTAGATATACAGACACTTTACAAAAATTCTTGTTGTTGCATTGAAAAACGATATTTTGAGACTAAATTCATTACTATGTGTTCGGGTTTTTTCGAGAGCAGTCCGGGCTTTTTCGAGTGCGTCCGTGTTTTATCGAGTGATTATACAAATTTCCCATAGCTTAGAATGTTGTGTGTCAGTGTATTTACGTTTAAAAACAATAAAAAAAGGGTTCACATTATGTACTTTTTAAGGCACGAAACCAATGCATTCATCAGTTTAATAAAGGTGTACTAACACTTACACTTTATAAACAAGTATCAGCCATCTGTATTTATTGTTGTTTGTCACATCTAATAAATTACATGTACAGTATATATTCATGATGTCAACAATCTAATGTAAGCATAGACAATTTGGATTGAGACGTACGTACAAAGAGTGAATTAAGCTGATGAATTATTCATTTCATTGTTAACTATATATGAAATTTAATTCAGATGTTATTGTCAATGGGAATAAAAACTGGTCGGATAAAGTGTCTTTTAGTAGAATATTTTTTATTACATATAAAAAAAGAAGATAATGAGACAACTCTCCACCAGAGACCAAATGACACAAAAATTAACAACTATAGCTCACCGTACGGCCTTCAACAATGAGCAAAGTCCATACCGCATAGTCAGCTATAAAAGGCCTCGAAATGACAAATGTAAAACAATTCAAACGAGAATGCTAACGGCCTAATTTATGTAAACAAAATAAACGAAAAACAAATATGTACACATCAACAAACGACAACCACTGAATAACAGGCTCCTGACTTGGGACAGGCACATACATACAGAATGTTGCGGGGATAAACATGTTAGCGGGATCACAACCCTCCCCTAACCTGGGACAGTGGTGTAACAGTACAACATAAGAACGAACTATAAAAATCAGTTGAAAAAGGCTTAACTCATCAGATTGATACAAATAGAAATACATCTAACAAAAACAAATGCATTTTACTGATTCTTCTCTGCTGTCCAGTAGGTTTCTTTCTCCGTTTTTTAATGAACAGCTGCGCCATGGGCGCATGATACGCTTGATATCAAACTCGCCGGAGCATCGTTTAATATTATATTGAAATTGAATAACTCGAGTTGATATCAAGCGATATCCATTATCACTCGTTATGAAACCTATAAATAATTTTTCAATGTCATATCAAAAATTTATAAAAAAAAAAACTAAAAGGGAGGTAACCTTGATCTATATAAAGCAGTCACCGAAGTTTCATGAAAACTCCTCAAAGCACTTTAAAAATATTGTCCGAAAACTGTAAAATCACCCCTTTTTGGCTCACCTGGCCCTAAAGGGTCAAGTGAACTTTTCTCATCACTTGGCGTCCGTCGTTGTCCGTCGTCGTCCGTTAATTTTTACATTGTGTCGTCCCGTGATGCTCAGATATATACGTCTAGAGTTTTAATTGCTGTTGAACAGATCACAATCTGAGCAGATTTATAACTGTATTTTAAAGTTAAGGATAGCGGATCATGTGCAACGCAAACATTTTTTTACAGAAATATTCTCCTCTAATACGTATGGAACAAGTTCATTATAGATAGAGATAACTGTAAACAGCAAGAATGTTCAGTAAAGTAAGATCTACAAACAAGTCACCATCACCAAAACAGAGAATTTTGTCATGAATTACATTCGTGTCTTTAATGTAGGAGAGTGTCCATTGTTTAATATGCACTGCAGCACATAGACCAGAGTGAGCGACACAGATTCTTTAGAGCTTCTAGTTTGTTTAATAAAATCCTATAACTCGAAAACGTAAAATCTAAAATTTATTAAATTCGAAAGGGAGGATACCTCAATAAATAAAAAAAATTTAACGAAGTTTCATGTAAATTGGTTACAGCGTTTTTGAGTTTTGTCCGACATGCTGACGACGGACGGACAACGGTATATCATAATACGTACCGTAAAAAAAACTCCGGGGTTCACCACGAAAAATATTATTAACTGTGACAACAAAAATTCCATAAAATGAAGTTGAAAAGATTATGAGTCTCCTGCACTATGTTCTTAAGACCTTTTTATAAAGGATCCAATAATTTCTAATTTAATACTGGAAAGTTGTGGTAGAACGTTTTCCGAACAGGAAACTTGCATTAAATTGAAAAAGGGTAATGTTGATCAACGTAGTAATATGTTTTGGTGATTTATTGAGAATATATGATATTTTCATTCATTAAATTACATTTATTTACTAGAAAAGTCATTTTTTAAAGTCAGAAATAACTTTTTTCTTATTAAAAGTTTCGTGAAAAAACCCGAACCTTTGTTTAAAAACCCGGACGGTTTCACAGTTCCTCTCGAAAAAGCCCGGACAATCACAAACACTGAATTTATTGGTTAAATACAAGGAAATTGTGCTTCTTTGTTACTCAAATCATGTATAGTATTCAAAATAAGATGGGTAGTCACGTAAAAACTATTATAATATTACTAATTAGTAGTTATTTGACCTGATCGCATGTTTTATCACTCGAAAAAGCCCGATCTACCCTCGAAAAAAATGGACAGATTCATTCGAAAAACCACGATCCTAGCCGGACACTATACCTACCGTGGTGTATAACAGATTAAAAGAACTTTATTCGTCTTAAAATAGTGACAATTACATATCAATATACATAAAATATGACAACAATTTCATATATTAAAAGATCATGTAGGTTCACTTTCCAGATATCTGCTCCTTGTGAGATAATTACATATTACACTCTTACCATGCGGTGTAATTAACAAAACCCCTATAGGTATCAAACTATAAAAAAAAACTCATTGAATTACTTGTACAAATAATAAATAGTTCTCTTCATTATCAAACATAAACATGAGTTCGTGGTATGAAATAAGGTGGCACCTAGGACTTCTGTTTTGAGGTGGAAAGGTGGTATAATCAAGCAAAATATATATTCGGGGAGCGTAGAGAGGCAAAAAAATAACTGTTTCAAGTACTATAGTTCAAGGAAAATCATTTTATTTTTGATATAATTATATAAGTGAAGGAAAATGACATTTTCTTTATAAATACGTCATTTCTAAGAAAATATCTGAAAATTATGTTTTCGCATCTATATGCAGTTCAATTTCTTGTAGCTCTGGGTGTCTGATTCGAACTTGGAATGATAATTTAGGTACAAGCTCAGTTATCTACCCTTTGGTTGATACATCCTCCAACGCAATCCAAGGAGCTTTGAATCTCCTGCATTCACAACATTGTGGAGCTTTCAGTTGAAGTCTGCGTATACGTGGAAATGGTTGTGGACAGTATAACCAAATGTTGAAGATTTTGAAGTTGCTTGGTACACACCTGTATCTGTATGGAAACATCCAGGAAATGCAGGGAACATTCTTACAAGATTGTGGTCTGAAATTGATAAAGTATTTTGTTTTAATGAAAGCTTCTGGATAACATTTTGATAAATGTACATCTTAACGTTGTGATTGTTTTACCTTTATTTTCATTTTTGGGTACGAGCAATCACACTGTAGAATGCAGAAATTTGGAGAATTTTAATTTTATCATGCATGCTACATTTATGGATCAGAAAAATAAACTTTATATCAATTCATAAGTATACACTTATTTAATGAATGGCTACTGGTAAAAAGAAGAATATATATAGCAAGTTTATTGTCCCAAGACACCAACTAGGCCCGACCAAAGTGGAAGGAAATAGTACAATAAACTTTCTACTTTCCGAAAAGTCATTATAAATATGTGTTTTATTGTAGAGAACGTATATGAAAATGTTTAGTGCTTCCAGTTAATAGTTTTTGAAACTATTAACTGTTAAATTGTCCTTTTACGAGACCATGTTGACTTTGCTTCCAGTAAGTAGTTCATACCGAGTAAATAGTTTTTGATACTATTAACCGGTAAAAAGTCTTTTCAGACAATTTGGTTTTAAAAATACATTTTTAATACTGAGGTATAATAATAAATAATTTTGACCCATGTGGATTGCACTTTCAAAATTCTCATAATAGATAAGTTGAACAAAATATCTGTATCAGCATTAATTATTTTAGCTTAAATGATGATAAGAATGAGAGTGAAATCGCATTTCAAAAGATATACCAACAAATCAGAAGTTGTTCACCCTTTCGACACTATAGTGTAAACATATTTTTATTAAAGAATTCGTTAGGTATGGCTACAAGAATACATAAATACGAAATATACAAGTAATTCAAAAATTGGGATTAGGAAACAAGAGCAGTGCTCTTATATAAATCAACCTTCCTATGTGTCGACACTTTTGGCAGCGTTTTTGAGTTCATGCGTTCAAAGGGGTTTTAAAACTTTGCTTGTCTTTAATTATGGTTTCCCATCTTATTATATTATGTAATGTAATGTAAAAAATGGTTTTGTTTAACTTTCTAGGGTTACATCGGGGTTAAGGGAGACAACTCTTCATTTCAGAAAAGCGTATTTTTAAAGCAATTATATTTAACTTGTGGTTCCATTGATTTCTAAGAGCCATGTCAGAGGCGGATTTAGGGGGAGGCCAGGGGGCCCGGGCCCCCCTTTTTGGGGAAACATTTGGTTGATTATATAGGGAATCACTGAAGCATGACTGGAGCGGGCCCCCTCTTAGGCAGTCAGTGGGCCCCACTTATGAAAATTTCTGGATCCGCCACTGCATGTCTCTTATCATAAGTCAATTTGTCTTTGAAGTTTTACACCAAATAATAACTCACTTGCAGTCAGCATATGTTATAGCCGTAAAAACAGTATTCCACCAAGGTCTCAGTACGTAACACTTTTTCCCGTAATACCAGAACGTTCTTCCAATAGACAATGATCTGAACTTTGACTCACACATCGACCCTCCTATAGGTGGTCTAAAATATCGTAAATATACACATAAACATAAAGTGAATTGTGAACAATTGTTTTATTAATAATTTGAAACTGTTTGTAGTATAGACCATGTAATTTTCAATGACCGGAAGAGACAATTAAGCAATAAACAAATATCTGGTTAATATCCGTTTTTGGTGGGGTTCGTGTTGCTCACGGGGTGTTTAGGTTTTTCTATACTAACTTTTGTGTACTGTTGTTTGTCTGCTGGTCGTTTTTTTTTTTTTCGTTTTTTGCATTGATATTTATTGTCAGTTGGTTTTCGACTTATGAATGCGCGTATCCCTTCCGTATCTTTTGCCTCTCTTTTATAGAGTTTTTATATCTATACTTTATATTTACAGTTCAATATATGTATATATGATGTAAGCGTGTGTCTATCACTTGAACGCAATGTTGTGTGAGATTTTAATAGCTGAACTGTTAGGGTTTTTTTTGCCAGTGACTTTTGTCCTTTATTAACCAGAACGAGACTCGTCAACGGACACTACCAGGCAGAAATACAAAAAAAAAGTTGTCCAAAGTAAAGCATGAATAAGAAAATCAATTAAAATGATGTATATATGGAAATATATTAATCTTACTTTTGTGCGATCCACGGGTCTTTGGAATTTAAGGAAATGAGGCTAAGTGCAGTTTCTTTGTCACTCTTTAACTGCTCATAATCTCTTTTATTATTTTCAGAAAGTTCTTTCTCTGCTCCATCTATTTCAGACCTATATTAAAATAAGATTTTTCAGACATATGATAAAATAAGGAATTCAGACCTATGACAAAATAAGATATTTCAGACCTATGATAACGTAAGATATTTCAGACCTATGATAAAATAAGATATTTCAGACCTATGATAAAATAAGAAGCAATTCACTTAGTCAACATAACTTTAGTATCAGCATGTTTAATTATTACATGTTAGCTATATACCACTTCCTTGGTATCAGCTAACACGATTTATATATGAGGAATCCGAATCACAAAATTCCATAGGTATGAAATCCGAACATTCGACCTGTCACCAATACAATACAAATTACAGTACATAGACACACAAACAAGATAAACAAAGTATAAACAACAAACCTAATTAGAAAAAGGAAATATGGCAAAATTATTCCAATGTTGTAGTGTACGTCTTATTTAACGTGTGGGTGTCGAGGCAAAAAAAGTAGATACATGCATAAAACCTTTCATGACACATAGATATATAACGAGTATGAATTCTTTCACATGTTAAACATGTCTTTAAATATGCAAACTATACGTCTGTAAATATTGATGAGTTTATAATCTATAAATAACTTTCATGCATTTTTTCTAGTAATAGGTACGTGAATGTGCAGGTCGAGATTACACACTACACTTTTAAAAAAAAGTTTCTATATAATAACATTACATGTATGTTTCATTAAAATCCGTAATTTGGATTAATTGACATCAATCACGAGACACTCAAATAAAATTATAAAAAGAAACATTCAATTATTGAATATAATATGACGAAATATTAATGTTTAGAACGTTAGATCATAATTGAGTCCAGATTTACATATACAGGAATATGGGGTATTTCATCTTTATTTTGTTTGTTGCGTTACATTTGAACCTTCGATTCTTCGATATGTATTTGTCCTTTTGGTGTAAGATAATCTAAATGAATCCATATTGGTATTATTTTAGTAGAATTTTCTATGCGATTTGCATTTTGAAAAAAAAAACGGCATATTCACCCGAAGAAAAAAGTGATATTCACCAGGCTAAACGTCACGTGCTTTTACGGGTATATACATGTATAATAACGGTAAAACTGTTTGACGAACAATAAGCTTTGCTACAATTGCCGAAATACTTTTATTCTCTCGGAATATCGAATATAAAACAATTACTGCATATCTTTTGTATTGGTAAATATGTGGTAAAATTGACCGTATTTTGAAAAGTCAACGAAACCAAACATATACCTCGCCAAAAGACAGTATAATATTTTTTTAAATGTGCAAAATCGTTAATTGTTTGAAAATTATTTGTAGGTAAAAGAGATATAATTGTGATATTTTTGCCATTACGAAGCTGGATACTCTGAATTTTTTTTTATAAAATAAATAAAAGATATCGTAAACTATATTTGTAAATTAATCGTAGTTAAAAGTGATAAAACTCAGCAATGTTTGCCATCGTGATGCGGGATTCCCTGAATTACTTTTATAAAATATGAGATATATCGCAAATCATTTGTAAATAGTTTCTTGAAGTACAATTTATTAGAAAATTTTACAGAAACAAGGATGTACTGATATACAAATGCCACCTGAAAAGACGAAACGTGTATACAGCTGACTTACTCAGGGTATTCATCATTATCATTGAAATCAAATCCTTCTGCTATAATGTCATTATACTGGGCATCACAATGGTCTTCTTCTTGGCAAAAGCCATATGCCAAGACGCAGAAGAATACCTAAAAATTAAAGGTATTGATGAGCCAAATCAATAAATTGAACAAGCATGCACATTTTAATATTCATTTATCAAATACAGTTTATTTTAGTTTGGGCCTGTTTTTTCAGAGCCCAAACCGAAAAAAGATGAAATCCCAAAAGATGAAATACATAATAAATAAACTGAACTTTAATTTTGTGAAAAGAAAATTCAATGATTTTAAGTATGTCGGCGGAAATCCCTTCCAATGATCAATATGGGAACAATTAAGTGGTTACATACTTAATTTTTATGATCTGCTTTTTTTCGTTTAGAATATTTTAAATTGATTAAACAATTTTAAATATGATAGTATATCATGCATTATTTACTGAATATGTGATCTCTCGGGTGCAAAGTTGTTATTGTTATACTTTCGGATTCAATGATTGATTGATTGGTGTTTAACGCCAATGTCAGCACTATTGTGCTATTTCGTTGAGGTCATTTTTTATTGGACGAGGAAGCCGAAGTGCCCGGAGAGAACCACCGACCTTTAGTATGAAAACTGAAAATCTTAGTCAACTTCGTAAAACAGTAATAAATTGATTGGCGATTTTTTGTAAGTTTTAAGCCATATGAATGCAAATGACGTATCACAATTTGCACGAAGGTCGTTTTCTAATTGCTTCTAAATCTGCATTATTTTTCTTTCATTTACAATAAATATGAATACAATTACATATCTGAATAGATCAAACATGTCAAATGAAGCTCGACAAATTATCATTAGTTTAAAATTATCATTATTTAAAATTATCATTAGTTTAAAATTATCATTAGTTTAAAATTTTCATTGTTTATCGTTTAAAGATGATGGCATAGATACATAGATAAATCATCAAAATACAAAATTGAAAAAAAATAATTGAAAAATACAAAAAATAAAAATATAAATAAATAAAATAAGGAAATAATTACATTATCAAATAAACGATAGGTCAATAAACATTGAAAAAAAATAATTAAAAGTTAATGATTGGAATAGTTTTGGTCAAACATTTTGAACCTGGAAATTAGAGGTAACAGTATAGTTTACCAATGTTCAAATATCATATTTAAAATCAGTTATAACTATAAAATAATATCTGATTATTGACAGAATGATATATGAATTAAAATAGAAATAGATACGTACCAACGTTCTTAATATTTTCATCTTGAATCAATATTGTTGCTGCTGAATATGTTGATAATTTGAATTAAGCGCCGTCCGTTGTATATATACTCGATGGAGAACTTTGATTGGTGAATATTGTATCCAATTAATATCAGAGTAAGAGTATGCGGATATCAATGGTCCACTGAAGCAAAATGTTGATAAAATTTTAACTGTTTTATGTTAATTCATGTCAGTAGGACTAGGTTTACATTAAAAGTTTTTTATGTGTGCTTTAGTGCAATTTTAAGATTTCATTATCAGGCGATCATTCGTAAACTGCGTCAACAAATTTCTTTTGTTAGAAGACTTTATAAAAAAAAAGTATTCAAATGAGTTGCAATATAAGTTATTTTCGGCAGAAAAAAAATATTTTTTTAAAGTTGTTTCCTTAAAATAATGATTTATATAATAACAGAATTAAAATATAATACTTTGTACTTTGAAAATATAAACTTAAGTGCATGCAAACCAAAGTGTTTTCTCTTTTGTTTTCTTTTTATCTTTTTAAGAAAATGATAAAAATCAGGATATAGTTAATTATGTTACAGTTAAAAACAAATATCACAGCACTTAGATTTGTACTTAAAAAAAGAGTATTATATTTTGTCTGGTGCACCAAAATTTTCATTATAAAGATTTAACACCTTTTGGATGAAGAAATGGTTTATAATCTTAACCTTTTCATCATTTATGAAAACTACAATGTTGTGTTTAAAAAAAAAAGTCGATTCGACATCTGTGTTTGGAGGAGTTGGTGTTGCTTGATCTTTAGATTTCTCTTAAGTGTTTTCTATAATACTATCTTTTCTGACCGGACGTGGCTGTGTAATTAATTGTACATCCCGCACAACTAAACGGAAGGCCCACTTTGGCAAAAGTTTTACTGCTGGTTGATAGAAGACCAGAGTGACCATATCTCTAATTCCATGTCACCCTTGGGTTCCTTTGATTTGGAAACGTATCAGATATGTTGATTTGATAAGTTTTAGTGGTATTTTACGTGTTCATGTTAGAGGTTTTAGAAACTTATCCTGCTTGAAATCTATAACTTCCATCTAATAATTGTAAGTATGGAACAGAAAGCAGATGGAACGGGTATTAGCAGTAATCATATCAACAATTGTAGGCATGCTAGGCTTACCGGTAAATTGTCGCAAATTTAAAAAAAATATTTTAGAGCAAACAAAATACTGATTGCAAAACGTCATGGCAAATTATCGTCAAAATATTTCATCGTACTATTATTTTATTTGACAAAAAAAAACTTTTCTATGCGTCAAAACCTGAAGATAATTTGAGGAATGTTAAGCAGATCTTGCTCATCTAGTCGCAGCCGTCATGTTACTCATTTAAAGAGCACATGGTGATTAGTCTCATTGATGATGTCACAGTCGAGAAAACGAGTAGTTATCAGGAGTCAAAGCATGGAACATGTGCAAAAGCTTGACAATGTCAGACGTGCATTAAGGGATAAAATGGTTCTATGATAGACTTTAAAAGTCACCAGTCAAATTAGAAAGTGAAAAGCTGCATCATTAAACCAACTCATGACGAAGACCCTAGAAATCTGAAGAAGTGACTTATGTCACTCAATACGCTAAAGAGTCATCAGAATTTTCTATGTTGAGTTCATTCAACAATTTAACCACACATGAAGCGCTATTCGTTTGCGTAAGACTCATCCATTTGAATCTTAATAGTTGAAAAACATTTCAAAATAAACTTGTTGGAGAAAGTTTTGAGTAAATAACATATGTCCGTGAAATCACAATCATTATAATGAACATATACCATATCAATGAGGTTATCAGTAGGCTATGGCAGATTGCATGTACGAACAAGAAGCTTGAATTGAAAAACCATTTTGTTTGTCATAGATCGAAGTTTTCAGTTGTCCACTAGTATCAAATTCAGGAAAAGGATCTTGATTCGATGGTTATCCTCATCAGTAGACTGGTTCCCGATCGCAATATTCAGTATGTTACACATATACCAATATAACAGCGTATGGCTATTAGCTAATACCTGGAACGTAGTACCGGGAACCAGAATACCTCATCCGAATCTAAAGGACTATAGGTTATTTTATGTTAAGGTGGTACCTAACACTACAGGGAGATAACTCTGTAAAAATCAGCTAAACGTTTTAATAACGTTGTATTGTAAAGGAAATATTAAGCTTCTCAATGATCAAAATTAGTGTTTGTCAATCTGCTATATAACCAATGAAATTTTTCTGATAAAGTGGTTGGTTCAAATTTTTTTGAAATTTTTATATTTTTGTCAAAGGGTCAAAGTAAACATTTTGTCAAAATTTTATGAAAATTAAACGAGCCAAATTAATATTAGTCAAGGTGTTGGGTACCACCTTAATACCCCAAAATAAAAATAACGTCAAGTCATTGGTTGATTTTATATTGCTAAGGAATCACGACATTTTGATGTACTCTTTTGAACAATTATAAAAATGCATTAGATTCTGAAACGACAAATTTAGAATATACCAAAAAAAGAGAAAATACCTCAAGGAAGTCGCAAAAATCTCATAACTTAGCCAGGCAGAGTGTGTAGACAAGGTATGCATTTACCTCTATGCATGTAGCATGCCCCATGCGAATGATACCTCGAGTGAAATTGTCACAATGGGGACACGGACACACTTGGCGAACTTTTAAGATCAGACGACAATTCTTGCAGTTAGCCGTGTATATCTCGTTAATTGCAACAGACGCATACCGTTCCGTGTAACAAAAAAGACATTTGTTTTGCTCTGTACTGTCCATAACGACAGGTTTACATGAATATATATTAATATGCACGTAATCGCTGCTATATGTGTGAAAGATTTTCGTCAATATATCTGTAAGCCCCAGTAAAGGATTTCAAAGGAAATATAACCCGGCAAATTTGTACAAATGTGAATCAGAAATAAATCAAATTCGTGACAATTTGTTAATCCATCTAGCTTATCTTTTACATTTCTTTGTGTTGGATTAATTCTATTGTTAAAATGTTTGTTTGTCATATGGAAAACCACCTTGACGATAATAAGTTACTCCATCGGACACTTATCTTTTTCTATAGATACTGTTTTTATGTACTCTTTTGTATGTTATCATAAGCTCTGTTATAGGTTTTCGGTCTGATACTGTCCGGACCTTGCCAAAAAAGTTTAAAGTATTGGTATTCCGTCTTTTGGTAATTATAGCTGGAAAACTCCCGGTTATAGAAACACAGCCTCAGCTAATTAATGAAACAATAATAGGCAACAGTAGTTTACCGTCGATCCATTTTGAAAATAAAAAATATAAAAGAAAGGAATTGAAGAAAGAAAGAAAGAAAGAAACAAACAAAAATCTTTGATAATGAACTTAATGATGTTTCCGATTTACGGTTTGACATATTGTAACTCAAGATTTTTCCTTGAATATGCATTAAACTCTTTGTCCAAAATTTAGTAACTTAATTTCGTTTTCTTCTGTCAGAGTAAAATTCTTTTGTCCCATATATTTCATATCATTAATACAGCTACATTTTTACCATCAAAAATGTATTCCAAAATCAATCGAGTGACCTGTCATTGTTTTTATATATTGTTTTATGTATAACGCATTATCTCGTCAAAAAGACGTAATTTGGGGGAATTCAGAAGAGATCATTCGTAATATTGTACTCGTACAAACTTATGACCAAATTACGTCTGGAAGGGCTACTCATACGCATTGGTATTTCGTTACTAAAATTCATGCCATTTAGGCTTTGGAGGATGATTGTATCATTAGAAATCATTCTTCATCTCCTTATTTCATGTAATTAAAATATTTTACGTTTTCACAAAATAATGCCACAACCTGACTTTGCTGGAAAAAAGATTCGATTCAGTTTGCGAATTCAAATATTAGTAAAAGTGTTAGAAATGGAGATTATTGGCTATGATTCATTTTCAATATTTGTATAAAAGAATCGAGCTTTGAATATGTTTATCATTTTTTGGTTCTCTTAGAAATAATTTGATTGTTTAAAATACTTGTTAGACAAATGGGATGGCGAATTTTGATTGGTGAACATGCATTCAATCCATATTAGAGTTAAGGTACTATGATACAGATTTCAATAGTGCAGCGATGCACCATATAGATTAGAAATTTTGCTGTAATGCACATTAATTTTATGTTAATGCATGTCAGTAGGGTAGGGTTAACATCATATGTTTGAATAATATTTAGGTGCTATTTTAAGAAATATTACATCATCAGGAGATCAAACCTTTGTAAACTTTGTCAACAATTTTCATTTTAATTGAAGACCTTATCACACAAATTATTATACTGAGTGCCAATAAAAATTATTTTCGATTCATAAAATTTATATATGTTTAAGTTGATTCCTTTGTTTGGTGGATAGTTGTCTAGTATTGTCAATCATACTTCATATTATTGTCATTTTGTTTATTTTCTTTTGTTTCCTATTCTGACATCGGACTCGGACTTCTCTTAAACTGAGTTTTATTGTGCGTACTGTTGTGCGTTTGTTTTTTCTACATTGGCTAGAGGTATAGGGGGAGGGTTGAGATCTCAAAAAACATGTTTAACCCCGTCGCATTTTTGCGCCCGTCTCAAGTCAGGAGCCTCTGGCCTTTGTTAGTAATGTATCATTTTTAATTTTAGTTTCTTGTGTATAATTTGGAGTTTCTCGCTGCATTGAAGACCCATTGGTGGCCTTCGGCTGTTGTCTGCTCTATGGTCGGGTTGTTGTCTCTTTGACAAATTCCCCATTTCCATTCTCAATTTTATTCATCTCCTTATTTTGAATAATATTAAAAAGCATATACATTTTCACATAATAACGCCACAACTTGACTTTTCTGGAAAAAAACTTAAATTTTTGCGAATTCAAATATAAGTATCAATATAAAAAAAATGAAATTGTTGGCCATAATTCATTTTCAATATTTATATAAAAGAATCCAGCTTTAATAATGATAATCATTAATCGGTACTCTTAAAAATAATTTTATTGTGTAAAATACTTGTCAGACAAATGGAATGGAGAATTTTGATTGGTGGATATGTATCCAATTAATATTACAGGAATAGTATGCGGATATCAATGGTCCAATGAAGCAAAAGTTTGCTGTTATGCACTATAATTTTATGTTAATTCATGTCAGTAGGGCTTTGTTTACATAACAAGCGTTTAGGAGTAATTTGATACTATTTTGAAATATTTCATTATCAGGCGATCATTCGTAAACTTTGTCAACATTTTTTGTTTATGTATAGACTTTAGCAAACAAATATTTTAAGTATGTAGCAATAACAATCTTCGACTAACAATATTTATTTTTTTAAAATGCTTCCTTGAGATAATAATTTATGTTTATTTTTGTAAATAAAATATACTTGAAAATACAAAAGTAAGTAAACCAAAGTGTTCCTTTCTTCTTCCTTTTTTAAGGAAAATGGTAAAACAAAAAAACTAGATCGATTTTTTTTGTTCTTAATTAAAGACAAATATCACAACCATTAAACATTCTAACTTCAAAAAGTCATCAAGTATTATATTTTGCCGATGATTTATTGCACAAAATCTGCCTTAAAAACAATTTTTGGTACGGATATCGTTTTTGTTGTCCGATCCTTTCAATCATTTATGAACACTAAAATGTTGTGGATTCTAATAAAGAAATTGTCTACTTTGTCTATCCAAAGGGCCAAGTGAGCTTTTCTCCTAACTTTTACAACAAATCTTCTCCTCTGAAACTACTGGGTCAATTTTATTCAAACTTGGCGACAATCACCATTGGGGTATCTTATTTCAGAAATGTGTCTTCTTATAGGAGTTATTGTCCTCAATTGACAAATTTTAATACTTTTTTACATTTTTGCCTATTATCTTGAAAACTATAATAGATAGAGAGAAACTTTAAAATGCAAAAATGTTTAGCATGACAAGTTCTTCAAATGAGTCTTATGGCCGAAATCGTCAGTCGACTCCTTATTAGAGTTATTGCCCTTTGATGACGATTTTTACCAATTTTGTGCGTTTTTGCATTTTATCTTAAACATTATTATAGATAGATAGAAACTTAATAAGCAAAATGATCAGCAACACAAGATCTACAATTAAGACAACATGCAGAAAATCATCCGACGACTCCTTATTGGAGTTATTGCCCTTTAATGACGATTTTCACAAATTTTGTTTGCGTTTTGCCTTATATGATAAAAATTGAAATAGATGAATAGAAACTTAAGATAGCAAAAATGATCAGCAAGGCAAGATCTACAAACAAGTCAATTTTTGCCGATATAGTCACAAGATCAACAAAAAAGAGAATTTTGTCATGAATTCTATTCACGGCTGCAAGTTGAATATGCGCATAGACCTAGGCGAGCGACACAGGCTCTTTAGAGCCTCTAGTTCTATTTGACGCCGGTTTTCGTCTGATTTTATGTTGCCCAATCTTTAGTTTTCTATGTTGTTTTTCCCTTCATCATTTCTAATTTTGTTGCCATGAATTATGTCGGTTTTTTCGGCTTTTGAAATTTGATTGTCCCTTTGGTATCCTCGGACTCTTTTTTGCTAATATGCTAAATCTAGTACTTTTTCATAACAGCTTACATCGTATTTTCAAATCTGTTTCGTTTTAGCAGTATTAAGTTTCAAAACTAAAACGCTATTTACCTTCTTTAATTTTTCAAAGTTGTTGATAGTGTTCGTGTTGCTAAATCTTTAGTTTTCTATCTGATGTTTTATGGATTTGTTCGTCTTTTCGTCGTTTTTCGTTTATTGACAAAGCATTGTCACCTTTTCTTCGACTTTTGATTCTGAATGTCCCTTCGGTATATTCTGCCTCTTTTATTCAAGTAGATATATATATAATTTTGTTAATTTTAAATAGCAGTATGTAAAACAAATTTGAAAGTTCATAAATTTCGATGCAGGGAACACCCGTGATATATTATTAGGTATTCATTTTCTATTTTTTGGAAAGCAGCGAACTATTTTTTCGAGGAAATGCATATTTTAATCGGTATGTATATGTTTTTTGGAATAGATTTTTTTCCTTCCCACTTTTTTGATTTGAGTCTTTCGTAGACGAAACGCGCGCCTGGCGTACCAAATTATAAGCCTATAATGTCAAAAAAATGCTACTGTGTATTAAATCATAAAAAAATCAAAAACAAAAACAAACAAAAAACTGATTTCATCATTCGACCTTTAAGTCTCGGAATAATACTGAAAATGATTTATTTATTTATTAATTTATTTGACCAAATAGACATTATCTTACGAATACTGTTATGTGCCTTGCATATTTAAATTAGAAATAGTGAAGGAATGAACAAACATATTCAGTAAAGTAATTTTTCGTTATGAAAATTCATTTTGTTAATATATCACAGATGTAAGCGTCTTCTTTATTCTGTACAAAATGAAATGCGAATATATATTTCATTGACAATACTGTCAAAACTGCTATACAAGTGACAAAGAAAACATAAGCGAATCTTACAATCCTACAAACATTTTTTTTTATTTGAATTGTTGATGTTAATAGTACACGCTCCTTTTTTACCTCTGTGTTGTAATTGTTTTGAGAATTTCTTTTGATGTTCAATTAACACATTTTATAGGTTTGGTTGATGCAAATGTATTTCCTTATGGAGTCTGCTGAAGCAATACTTTTTTTTATAACCAGGATTATTTACGGGAAAAAAATCAGCAGTTTCACTTACTTACGTATATATTTATTATGAGAGTTCATGCCTTATGGCGTGTGTCAAACTTATTATCCATTAAATTATATACTGATTTTATCTATACGCCTCTGTGGTGTTGATTTCTTTTCTTATGGTTCGATGACCAAACTTTAAATTATTTCCGTATATTTTCATTCGCTAATGTTTTACCCAATGAAATGCAAGTTTACTTCAATATAAATGAGAAGCACCGCGAAGTTCAAATCAAACAACACTCAACTCATTCTAGAATAGAAATAACAGATATGGCTATTCTACGAATTTTGGTAAGTAATTGAATATTTTTTAGACTTTAAAATAATAAAACATCTACTTAGATGTAGTAATAAATGAATAAATCTATACTTTTATAAACTGAATTTATTCTCAAAAACTTATGATTTTACTATTATTTAAAATGTAGTTTCTTAATTTGAATATTTATTCTCTTAACTTTTGTGTTATTTCTCATAATTTCTCTTTTTGTGAACTTATCGAAAATTAAAATGTATGAGTTCTAAAATTGGGTTTCTTAAGATTTTTGGTAGCTTGCGTTTGGTCAAATCAAGAGTTTTATTATCGTCAAATAATTATATTGATATTAGGACTCTTTTTGTACGTATTTATTCAATAGTAAAATATCGAAATGTATCGTTTCTTGTTTAGCCAATACTAATGCTCTTCAATCACAAACTGTTTGATTGATTAATTGGTAGCTACTTAACGCCCAATGACAAATATTTAATGCATATTCATGAAAAACAATTTTGATTGAATGATATATTATATTAGGCATATATTTTTACAAGAATACATTTGATTCTAGGGCGGCAAAAATGTAGGTTTGAATATAGAACGAATGGTGGAAAGAAAAAACTGCTTCCACTGTAGCATTACACTGATTAAGCCGAAACTATGTTAAAGCCAATATAAAAAAAAACCGTACTTTCTCCTATTATTTTTCAATGTAGCCATCCAGTTTACACTTTGGAATTTCGGTGTATAAGATTCTTCAAATAATTTAAAAACAAATGGCTGACGAATGAGAAGTCAGAATAATTGCCCCCACCCCCTTTGTTCACCGGCCTTTCATTATAATATCATATTTATATTATAGGGGATTGTGTTATGTTTTTCTGCTGTTGTCAACTGTCAGATTTGTGCATCGGAGGCGAAAACTGAAGATCCATTCCAAGGAAAAATAGAAGATGAAAGGGGCTATCCAAAGTAAGTTAATAACAATTTAACACAATTAGCATCTTTCTGAAGGTCATGTTCGTTTGCCGTTTTTAGGTTAGCTCTTTGGGAAAGGGGAGGGGTCATTTAGTTGCAATTCAATACATTTACTATAATATTTTTTATTTTTCGCAGACATACATGTATTTTGACAGCTTTTCTATAGACCAGGAAAATAAAAACGTGGAGGGATCTGTTCAAATTTTTAAAAATAGTTTTAAATACAAAGTTGTATTGCATTTGTAGGTTATAGATGGAATAAATATAAAATTCTATTAGTTTGTAGTTTGGTTTCTATTGTAACGTTTTTACAGAGATTCGGGTGTTTTCTAGTGATATGTTTGATTGTATGTTCTTTTGTTCTTTTATGTACCTTTTGTTCGTCAAATGATTGACAGAAATATAGCGACAGTAAATTATCGATGTTCAAATGTCATAAATCGATTAAAATGAGACAAATCAAGGTTACAACCAAACAATGAGGGAATCGCATGAACCTCAAAAGGAGCGAGACCGGATGTATCGACAGTGTGTTGACGGCAAATCATTTTCAGCGCCTGTTTAATATATTTTTAATTGTTTGGACCCGAATAATAGCTTGACAAATTGCACATCGTGATTTTATTTGTGTCTTTTGAAACAAGCATTGTACCCCTTATTTAAAGATAGTGTTTGGGTAATACGGGACTTCAAAAACTTGTGATTTGTCTTGCTTTCTTGCTTGTTTTCATTCACAAACGCAAACACTATCAGGCAAACCGTATACATACATGCGGAATCGATAAATGAAATTTCAACGTGAGCTATGGTTATAAAAACGCACGTATTTTTTTTCTACCCTTTTCAGAGCTGAAATAGAAAGTGCATATGAGAAGTTAGACCGGGACACAAAAACACAGATCAGAAATGATGCTGCTGAAATGGCAACGTTGAGTAAACTGGACTTCCTCCCTGTGTAAGTAATAATGTTTACTTTTTTCCATCTTTCTGTCCCTCTTTTTTTTCCATTTTTCTGTCCATCTTTTTTCCATCTTTCTGTCCAGCTTTATATCTTTCATTCATCACTAGTTTTCTTTTTTTTTTCTTCCTTTTTCTCTTAATATGGTTATGATTTCATGAATATTTGTAAAAGGGATATTTGTTTTAGTATATTCTTATTAAAAAGAGACAAAATCATAACAAAATTTGCAAAAGTTATTAAATTCGAAAATTGGTACAAATAACACAACAAATGATAAATAAAATCCACTTTTATGCACATATAGTATCCTTATAAAATTAATGCACGGCTTACAAAGCCATCCAGCTGCGTAGAACAGCGTAGACAAGTAACAGGGGCGGAATCAGTAAATTCAGAAGGGAGCTTAATTGCATAAAAGTAAATATATACCGCCAAGCGGAGCGAGGCAAAATGTTTTGGAAAATTTTATTTTATAAATGATATTTTTTACATTAAAAAGGGGGCGTACGCACTCTTTGTCCCCTAAATTCAACAACTGACTGCAAGATAAGATGGAAAACCATAGCAATATGTCAAGGGCAAATCATACTGTGACTGTGTCGTAGTGACGTATAAATAGAACAATGTAACACAGTCAAAAATAAAGATAATAACCAAATGAAATATGACCTGAAAAAAGGAAATATTTAAATGACTTCAATTGTATGAGTGACCTTTACTTCTATTATTTTAGAGAGGTATTTTGTTGATTCCCTGTTTTTTCCCAGTTATAAAATTTCAGCTTATCGTTTATCCATGCTATGTTTTACATTACAATTACAAATAACAAATTAATTCATTGCTTTCATGCATTCTTATTTTTCAGTTCGTTTTTGTCATCTTCCCTCTGCCCCCACAAATTTGTCACAGTCTATCCAAGAGGATGGCATTTCCTAAGCAGTAGTTTAGGAAAGTGTTGGATTCTCAATAATTGGTGGAATACTCCTCTTTCGTACGCTGTTTGCGCGTAAGTACACATATAATAGAAATTTTAAAAATGTATTTATTCAGGGGAGGACAAACGTTATATAATTTACACAACAACATTAGTGTAATGTAATTAATGTAACATTAATTAATATTAACATTAATGTAAATAACAATCCGGGTATAATTTTTGCAAAAACGAAAATGAAAGTATTTAGAACGCACCACATCATAACCCTGCTCTTGAATGACATATGATATTAGGTATATATACCTTTTGTCCAGATTGGAATAACAATACAAAAATGTTCCTTCAATACATTCCTCAAACATTTGGTTATATGCTTTGTCAACAATTTGGTCTCGCATCAACTTTTTTCAGTTTAGAAACTTGCGATAAATCCAATAGGGTTCAAAATACAATGCTCACAAATGCCCATTCAATCACACTTGACAAATTGCCCAGGGAAATTGTTAATCTGCATATATTTGTGATAACCTTTGCTATAACTGTTCATTATAGGCGAAATTTACTATCCGAAGTGTAATTGTCCTTCTTTTTATGGTTACAAATTTGTAAATTTGTAAACGTTAATATTTGAAAATCGAAAAGCTCTGAAAATGCTGGAATTGTGTTGGCATATTCTAAGAAGTCGTCAAAATTTTAAAACGATTAAGTGGTCAAATTCGACAGAAAGACTTTCGGTTTAAATTGTTATTAAAAGGAAAATACATTTAGGGGTTGCGATTCTATGGGTACTCAGTATGAATGGAACTATTAGGTGTGTTCTGATAAGTATCAGAAGGGAGGGATAAGATCTCACAAAACATGTTTAACCCCGCCGCATTGTTGCGCCTGTCCCAAGTCAGGAGCCTCTGTCCTTTGTTAGTCTTCTATGATTTTTTAAATTTTAGTTCATTTATATTTTTCGGAGTTTAGTGTGACGTCCATTTTGACTGAACTAGTACACATTTTTGTTTAGGGGCCAGCTGAAGCCCTTCTCCGGGTGCAGGATTTTCTCGCTGTGTTGAAGACCCTTTGGTGGTCTTCGGCTGTTATCTGCTCTTTGGTCGGGTTGTTATCAACAAAATAATAGTATGTCAACCAGTCACTATAGTGAGCATTATATCTTTTCATTCGTTTGCTCGTCCGTTCGCACTGTTGATACTCCACGATTGAATGGATTTCAATAATACTTTCAGAAAGTCTCATTACTGGCCGATCTACGGCGTATTATACAAGTGAAGAGTACAACAATATTATTTGATAAATAAATCAATAACGTAAAGCTTCGACTTATTGATCGAATAAATTTGTGGGAAACGGGAATATCAGATAAAAGATTTATAACAGATAGTAAAAAGAAAAAGAAATTAAAAAGTTTAAACTATAGAAAATGAATCCCTTATAACAATTTTTTTTCTTACTTATGTCTGCATCAATTCCCCACACGAATAACATTATTCTTTATTGTATATTTGTAGGACAAAATCATGTCAAGACCTACCTTGTTCTGCTAAAAACTACCGTTGTACACCCTCGAACCACAAGGGTTACGTAGCTTGGACCTATTGTCCAGGAAAAGGATTCAGTCGCAGATGGTTTACATTGCCTCAGTGTTGTGAATGTCAAAGATTTAAATGTTGAGAGAAAGAGAGAAAGAGAGAGAGACCCAGAACATTTTTGATCAAACAAAATATAATCCTGTATTAAATACGAATATTGGACTGAAAATTAAATCTTGATATAATTTGGAATTTTTAGTTGTTTCTTTAATAACATGCATATCGAATGGGGTGAAGATTTTATCCTTTACTCCATTTAATGTCATCCTATCGGACGTGATATGTAGCATGCACATCCATGCAAAGACAACCCGACAATGAACATTATACTAATTAAACTAGGTAAAATAAACGTATAAAGTCCCTTTTAATCTTAGTTTTATCTAGTCAGGCATATGAACTGTAATTTATGAATTTGATAATTACACAAAGATTCAGTGGAAGAACATAAACAGACAAAGAAATTAAAGCACGTAAACTATACAAAAAAAAAATCTAAGTGCACTGCAGTTGAGAAACAGGACAGCAGAACACAAAAATGAAACATTACAATTTCGCCATTACAGACTATAATGCATTCTGTGCAATAGTTTCAAACACGTACACCACATTTTGTGATTGGTTAAAACGTTATGAAATTCAACCAATGACGTGACGTTATTTTTATTTTGAAGAACAAAGTTATTTAGAATTTCTGAATCATTGACTAATGGATATGGGTTTGGCTCATTGTTGAAGGCCATACGGTGACCTATAGTTGTTAATTTTCTTTTTCATTTTGTCTCTTGCAGAGAGTTGTCTCGTTGGCAATTATACCACTTCTTATTTTTATAATACATAGTATCGTAAATTGTGATATTGAAAATTCACACAATTTTTGGAATGAATGGTGAGGTTAGTTACTTAACGAAATCTTGCTACCTTTGAAAAGGGAAAGTGTTCCTTAGTCCGTTTTTGTCCGCTCCATGAAAGCGAAGTCGAATTTGTTCATTTAATGCTAATGGGATTACTTCATATTACAACTATCATACAAAATCATGCAAAGTGTTGTCGTTGAATTTTTTCTGTCCAATAAGGAATTTCGTGTTAAGATGTATGTGAAGTTAGCAGCCGGTTCGTTATTCGATATTCGATATTCAATATCCAACCGGCTGCTAGCAGTCGGTTCGATATTCAAATTTTGTTGAAAATCATAAAAAAAATAAATACTTGATAACATTGATAGTATGATTTTCATAGTTAAGAGGACTAATAAATTACGTAGGAAATCGTTTAATGACCCCTTCTCGCTGTCCTCGAATGTAATCCCTTTTGTAAGTTACATATTTGTCTTTATGTACAATAGATTTTTATCAATAAAACGACTTCAAAGATGTTATTCTATATATGATATTTCTTAAAACAAAAAGAAAAACCGATCTCTAGAAAAATTTAGAAATATAATTAAAAATATTTATGGAAAGCCCAAAAACGAAATACAGATATCTACGGAGGGCTTAGATTGTCACTTTTCAGCTAAAAATTGTCAAAATTTCAGGACAAAGGGCACAGGGCAATGATGAGAGCCCCCTGATCTCTCAATCTTTCTAATGTTATGCAGACATTTAGTTTTATATATAGAGAGTCTTTGATTTAGTTGAATTTTATGGACATTGAAAGACCAGGGGGTCGCACTCTCATTGAAGCGGTCTCAGGTAGGTTTTCACTATATATTTTGAATATCAAACTGGCACTTTAGGCCCTCCGTAAATATAGAAAACAGGAAGTTTACCCAAATTCCTTTTAGTCACGTTTATATCTACCTATTAACTAAATGTCTGCATAATATTAGAAAGATTGAGAGGGCAGAGGGCCTTCACCATTGCCCTGTGCCCTTTGTCCTGAAATTTTGACATTTTTTAGCTGAAAAGTGACAATCTAAGCCCTCCGTAGATATCGAAGATGACATTACTCTAGGAAATACTTCTGATACAACCTTTATATTTACAGAGTCTTTGATTTAGTTGAATTTTATGGACAGTGAAAGACCAGGGGTGTCTCACTCTCATTTAAGCGGTCTCAGATAGGTTTTCACTATATATTTTGAATGTCAAACTGGCACTTTGGGCCCTCCGTAAATATAGAAGACAGGAAGTTTTCCCAAATTCCTTTTAGTCACGTTTGTATCTACCTATTTACTAAATGTCTGCATAATATTAGAAAGATTGGTATCAGGGGGCTCTTGCCATTGCCCTGTGCGCTTTGTCCTGAAATTTTGACATTTTTAAGCTGAAAAGTGACAATCTAAGCCCTCCGTACATGTAGATATCGAAGATGACATTATTCTGGGAAATGCTTCTGATACAACCTTTATATGTACAGAGTCTTTGATTAAGTTGAATTTTATGGACGTTGAAAGACCAGGGGGTCTCACCCTCATTTAAGCGGTCTCAGGTAGGTTTTCACTATATATTTTGAATTTCAAACTGGCACTTTGGGCCCTCCGTAAATTTAGAAGACAGGAAGTTTACCCAAATTCCTTTTAGTCACGTTTATATCTACCTATTAACTAAATGTCCGCATAATATTAGAAAGATTGAGAGATCAGGGGGCTCTCACCATTGCCCTGTGCCCTTTGTCCTGAACTTATGACAATTTTTAGCTGAAAAGTGACAATCTTAGCCCTCCGTAGATATCCGTATTTCGTTTTTGGGCTTTCCATAAATATTTTTAATTATATTTCTAAATTTTTCTAGATTTATAGTCTTTTCTTTTTGTTTTAAGAAATATCATATATAGAATAACATCTTTGAAGTCGTTTTATTGATAAAAATCTATTGTACATGAAGACACATATGCAACTTACAAAAGGGTTAATATTTGAGGACAACGAGAATTAACGATAGAGAGAATTTACGACAGTTTGAAGGGGTCATTAAACGATTTCCTACGTAATTTATTAGTCCTCTTAACTATGAAAATCATACTATTAATGTTATCAAGTATTTATTTTTTTTATGATTTTCAACTAAATTTGAATATCGAACCGACTTCTAGCAGCCGGTTGGATATTGAATATTGAATATCGAATAACGAACCGGCTGCTAACTTCACATACATCAGTGTACATCGTGTTAAAGGTCATACGATACAGTTTTGATCCCAACGGTGATTTTTTTACGACAATTTCCATACACGCTAATTCATACCTAGTTAATTCAAATATGTAAGGAAAACATACCTTCATGTGCTACTTTTAGAGATAAATGGGTTCGAAATTTTAGACATTTGCTCAAAATTTCGGTTTCTTGGAAATTTACATCCTTTTGAGAGACATATCTAACTTTTTTATTTCAAAAGAAAGCGAGTTTTTGTAAACGCATTTGGAATGTCTTCTTTAAATAAATGTTCTCTGAATTTATGTAACATTTTTTGTAAATAGTTCATTTTAATTAAATTTTCATGATTTTGGAAAAAAAGTAGTCAATTTTTGCTATATGTTTATATAATTTAAAAAAAATATACATCGGTCATTTGTCCATAAAAATTGGTACAAATAATCTTCATACATGTATATAATCAAGCTAAAAGCCATTTCAAAAAAGAGGGTCCATATACTCGTTTTCAAGCTTATTATTAAAATCAGTCAACAAATGCATATTTTCCCAACATGTCACAGTTTGACGTCTCGAACAAAAATCATTTTACGTTAGCAACATCATTATTTCCCCTGTTAAATGTATCGATGTATCGTATGCTCTTAATTGCAGATTTGGAGTTACTCTCAGATGAATTTAATGTCAGCTAGTTTGGCTAAATCCGTGACGATTTAGAGCTTTATATACGGTATAAACAAATTGCAATCCCAGAGGAATGTCTAATGCCCAAGCATGTCTTTGTGAGTTTACTGTGATGTTGGATTGCTGAGTCATTGACATTTTACATCCATCTCCATATATTCGTATGTTCTTATTTTCAAATGTCCTTAAAATCAACTTCATATCATAATCAGTAAATCATATTGTTAAATAGAAATGAAAGGAATTCAATGGGACAGTAACCGAATAATAGAAATTCACAAAAACATTCTTTAAGATAGAAGGTTTCTGCGTGTGCGATTAAAGCACATTATATTATGTTTTCCCAAATATTCATGGTTATAACGGTTATTGTACCACTACAAACACTGCAACAATGGATTTACAAATTAGGTGCAGAAAGAGGCTCGGAAGATATCAAAAACTCATTAGTGGAAGGGAAACTGACAGCGCCATGGGGAAAAATAACAGCGAAATTTATTAGTAAAAAAAAAGACTGGTTGGAAGGATAATTTGACCGGTTCGGGTAATGTTTCTTCTTGACAACTACTAACTGGTAAAAATAACGTTAAAATACGGCTCAGCGTGTTGGTCTAGTGCACAAAGCATGGTTCATATTTATACCTTACTCGCCCCGAAAGCGTGTCGGTCTAGTGCACAAAGCATGGTTCATATTTATACCTTACTCGTCCGGAAAGCGTGTCGGTCTAGTACACCAAGCATGGTTCATATTTATATCTTACTCGCCCCGAAAGCGTGTCGGTCTAGTACACCAAGCATGGTTCATATTGATATCTTACTCGCCCCGAAAGCGTGTCGGTCTAGTACACCAAGCATGGTTTATATTTATATCTTATACTCGCCCCGAAAGCGTGTCGGTGTAGTACACCAAGCATGGTTCATATTTATACCTTACTCGTCCGGAAAGCGTGTCGGGCTAGTACACCAAGCATGGTTCATATTTATACCTTACTCGTCCGGAAAGCGTGTGGGGCTAGTACGCAAAGCATGTTCAGCTTTAATATATCTTACTCGCCCCGAAAGCGTGTCGGTCTAGTACACCAAGCATGGTTCATATTTATATTACTCGCCACGAAAGCGTGTCGGTCTAGTTCACCAAACATGGTTCATATTTATATCTTAATCACTCGCCCGAAAGCGTGTCGGTCTAGTACACCAAGCATGGTTCATATTTATATCTTACTCGCCCCGAAAGCGTGTCGGTCTAGTTCACCAAACATGGTTCATATTTATATCTTAATCACTCGCCCGAAAGCGTGTCGGTCTAGTACACCAAGCATGGTTCATATTTATATCTTACTCGCCCCGAAAGCGTGTCGGTCTAGTACACAAGGCATGGTTCATATTTATATCTTACTCGCTTTGAAAGCGTGTCGATCAAGTACACATAACATGGTTCATATTTGTATCTTACTCATTACGTTCTCGTCCGGATATGCATGAAATATTTGCAACTGGACGAAAAATACAAACCAATCCATCTATGCCTCAGGTTTCTGTTAACTTTGTGACTATTTAACTATTCATGGAACACTTTCTTTTCGTAAGAAAACAACTGTTCACTTTCAAATTCAGTTGCAACTGTTCACCGTAATCAGTAAACATTAATGAGTATAAGTATAAATTCCCCATCAGAAATGCGATTTAAATAGAAGAAATATCAAGACTATGATGCTCTTAACACAGGAGTTTGTGAACAGGATGCCCTGTGGGTGCACCTGAGTTGTAGTACCCCGAATGACTCTCCCCCTCCCCCCCCCCCCCCCCCCCCCCAAAAAAAAAAAACAAAACCCTTCCCCTCGATCCAATCTGATTTGTTAGCAATTTGAAAAAAAGCTTTTGTTCTTTTTTTATAGATATGATATAACACACAACTAGTTCCATACACAAGAATTATCAGAGAGATATAACTAGTTCCATACAAAAGAATTATCAGAGAAATATACACTTTATGAATTTATCTTTACGAATAAACCTAACGAATTGACCATTTGGATAAACACAAAAAGGTGACAATTTATTTACATGTTACCGTGCTTTAACATTTGAATATATATATAGTTTCCCCCTTAAATTGCAGGAGATAATATGAAAGGGCAGATAACTTAATCACATCTGAATAAGTTACCCCCTTCAGAATTCGCCGTTTAAGAATCACAAATATATATATACATGTATGGATAATTTCATGATGTGATCGGTCTATGATCTTACTTTTTACTGCCACAGGCTTAGCGGAGAAATCGTAAATACAAATGTTTAAGTCTTTGGTTTGACCTAGGCGAAATACATGGGCACCCGCACTCGAGAAAAGCAGCCTACTATGAGACTACCGGGGCGGTCCTAGACGTACAGAGAAAATAGCATAAAATAAATTAAAAAAAAAAAATAAAATAATAAAATAATAAAAACATGCCATACGAATTAAAACAAAATAATAACAAAGAAAAACAATAGTAAAAATTCCTTAAAGTGACAAGCATACAACACCCCTCCTCTCCCCAAAGAAAATTAATACAAAAAATAAAAACAAAAACAAAAAACAAATTAAAAGCACACACATATCTGTACTATTATATTCTAGGAGTCGACCCTTCTATTTCCCTTTTTTATTGCAATAATTTTGCGAAATAGGTTTTGTTTGTCAGGGGGATCCACCCATCTATTGTTAAGCTTCCTCTTATCTTATTTTATTTCCGATGAAGTTTTTTTCTCTCAAAAATCGAACTAATACTTGGTTGTTGCTACTTGTGGACTGTCATTCCAAAAAAGGATCACTCCGCGGTAGATAGTGCATCGGTACAGAGGACTGTCTTTCAAAAAGGGATCACTCCGCGGTAGATAGTGCATCGATACAGAGGACTGCCATTCAAAAAGGGATAACCTCCGCGGTAGATAGTGCTTCGGTATAGAGGACTGATCAGGACTGTCATTCCATAAGAGATCATCTCCATGGTAGATAGTGCTTCGGTAAAGAGGATTGTCGTTAACAAAGGGATCATCTTCGCGGTAGATAGTGCTTTGTTACAAGGAACTTTTATTTCAAATGGCAGTGTCGGATCCAGGGGGGAGGGGGTCCGAGGGTTGTAACACCCTTTCTTTTTGACGATCAATGCTTTTGAATGGGACCATATAGTTGGAACCCCCCTTTTAAAAATGGCTGGATCCGCTCCTGAAAGGGATCATCTAGCGGTAGATCGTGCTTCGGTACAGAAGACTGTCATTCTAAAAGGGATCATCTACGCGGTAGATAGTGGTACTTCGGTACATGGGACTGTCTTCCCAAAAAGGGATCACCTCAGCGGTAGATAGTGCTTCGGTATAGAGGACTGTCATTCCAAAAGGGATCATCTCCGTGGTAGATAGTGCTTCGGTATAGACAAGATTAACATTAAACTTTTTGTTTTTCCAATATGAGTTTATAAATAACGTAGTTATATTAATAGATATATAATAAATAAAGTTAACCTAGCTTATTTTAATTGTTCTGGATCGGTTCAGTTTATTTACGATCTTGAAAGTTTTGTATCAAAAAGTAAAATAATAAAAATACCGAAGGATAATTCAAAACGAAATGTCCTTTATCAAATGGAAAAATCAAAAGCTCAAACACATCAAACGAAAGGAAAACAACTGTCATATTCCGGACTTGGTACAGGCATTTCCTTATGAAGAAAATGTTGGATTAAACCTGGTCTTATAGCTAGATAAACCTCTCACTTGTATGTTAGTCGCATAGAATTCCATTGCATTGACAACAATGTGTGAGCAAAACAAACAGACATAATGAGTAAAAGATTTGGATATAGCAGTCAACATTGTGTTATATAATCTTAATCACCACAAAAACAAATAACTATTTCAACAAAGAAAAACAAAATGGCATATAGACACTCTATAGACAAAGTGCATAAGCAAAATTGGATGACAAGAATACAACAAAGTCCATAGCACAATAAGATAATGGCGGAATGTATAAATACCAAGCATCGTCTCGTTTGTTATAGATTCTGGTACTGAGATGAACGCTTATGTAAATAACGATGTATTGTTCGTCTGTTGTTTCTTTAATTTCTAGTTCTGGAGAATATGTTAATGAAACCAAATCAGAAACGTTTGGATTGTTAGTGGAGAGAACATCATCAATATATTTGAGTGTGAAATTAAATTATCTAGCTTCTTTGATCTTTTTTGCTTTAGACAAGTGTCTGAAGGAACTCCGACTCATATGAAAATAAGAAGTGGTCGGCAAGGAAAGGCTCACAGTTCTTTCCCATAGGAATGCCGACAATTTGTTGAAAAAATCTACCTCCGAATTCAACAAATTTGTTGTCAGTAAGAAACTCCAGCATACTGATCATTTGTTCCTCTTTGTAGAGTTCATAGAATATGTTACAAGTGCGTATTTATTTAAAATGCATTTCCATAAGGTACTAACGGTGCTTAAAATATAGTACTAGTACTTGATTTATAAACAAAAGTAAAACTAACAATATTTTTCTAAAGGAAAAACATGGTTTTCAATATCTGTTACTTTGTGAAACAAATATATCCCATCAAACTGGAAATAAAGGATATATTAAACACAATTAATAAAATTGAGAATGGAAATGGGGAATGTGTCAAAGAGACAACAACCCGACCATAGAACAGACAACAGCAGAAGGTCACCAACAGGTCTTCAATGCAGCGAGAAATTCCCGCACCCGGAGGCGTCCTTCAGCTGGCCCCTAAACAAATATATATACTAGTTCAGTGATAATGAACGCCATACTAAACTCCAAATTGTACACAAGAAACTAAAATTAAAAATAATACAAGACTTACAAAGGCTAGAGGCTCCTGACTTGGGACAGGCGCAAAAATGCGGCGGGGTTAAACATGTTTATGAGATCTCAACCCTCCCCCTATACCTTTAGCCTCTTAAGTCTACATCAAATCTTGAAATACATATATCTTGACAATGAGGGTCAATCGAGAACAAAACTTTACGACAGAAAGGAATGATTTCAGCTTTCCGATTGGAAACTTTCCTTTCCTATGTAGCAATATTTCAGCAGCGCTTGCATATGGAGTATATATCTCCATGTTGCTGACACAATATTTCAGCGATTGCATTTCTTATCCAGCTTTCCTTGATAGGGGTTACTGACTATAAGTGAGCTATTGTACAAAGGGTTCCAAGTGGTCAAGTGGAAGGCATCCCCTCGAAAAGTTTTATGGACACACCACAAGTAAGTTGATCGGTATGGGATATCTTTGTTACAGATGACCACGCATATGTTCCAATATGTTGTACTAACCATAATCCCGTCCTCTTTTCCTCGATTGAATATGATATCACCAAAATGAGACTCATCACCAAATTTGAACTAACCTTGAGCAACACGACGGATGCCACCATTGGAGCACGATCTGCGTATCCTTCCGAAGCATCTGAGAACACCCCTTATTTTTGGCGATGTTCGCGTTACTTAGTGTTTAGTTTTACACGTTTTTTCTATACGTCGACTTTCGTTTTTGCTAGGTATTGTCATTTATCTCGACTTAGGAGTTTTGAATGTCCCCCTGGTATCTTCCGCCTCTTATTTTTTTAGTTTTAGTTATTTTTTTTCAGCAAAAAAGTATCTGCACCAAAAGCTGAAAAAAATTTATGACTGTCTCTATACTCAATTAAAACATTTCTTTTCTGGATTTACCTCCACCAGGAACGTTCAACCTAAAAAATCTGAAAAGTCAACGATGAACAAATAAGTAGAAACGTTAGGAGCTACATGTCCTAAAAGGGACCATAAAAGATAGCCAAATTCATATATGGTCCGTTTTGGGGATAATTTCCTAATTTATTAACAGCGAATTTAAGATAAGTATGGTATAAATCAGGTCAGGTGCGAGTTACTGATATTTGGCTGACGAACTCTGGGACTAACAAACAGTCCACCTGCTTACTGTAAACCAACATATTTTCAGTAATACCTTTTTTCGCGTTAAGCCCTTTCTAGACCCCTTCGCAGCAATTTAATTTCGCGGTTTTCAAATTTACTTGATGTATTTTTAAAAATCGGAGAAGATTCTAGTTTAACACATACGAGACTATTTAAATTTTTTACTCGCGAAAGTGGCGAAAAATAAATCGCTTGTGAAAATAAGTTGGTTAACAGTATTCGATATTTTATCTGCCGATAGTTATTGATTGTAAATTTAAAAGAAAAATTGATTAAAGCTTTATTATTTAAAAGAAATAACAAGACCGAAACAGGGGGTTTGTAGAACGTCACAATTGGAATACACCCATAGAAGAATAGGTACAAATATGATTCTGTGTAAGTCTACTTGGGACACGCCATCCACGTATAGACAACATTGTAGGTAATCGAGTTGGCCCAGGAAGTAATTTTCAATACGAATCCATGTCTGGACAGATGGTGTACAGTCGTACGTATCCTCACATTCTTTTTCCTGTAGGTATCCAATGAGGTCATTCCAACCACTAAAGCCGGTGTCCTGTAGAAAGGTCCATGAAAAGGTATGTACTGAACTCGACTTTTATTTCGTTTACCTGAATACCCAAGCTGTGCAGTTCCAGATTTACCTACAAGCAGTAAAAGAAAATGCTAAACATTTATCAAAGTGAAAAATAATTTTAGAGCCTCCTCATGGGGTTTTTGATCATGTGATTACTTGGCCGTTTTCATAGTAATTATTTGATTACCAGGGTAAATATTTCATGATTATTTGATTATTAGATAATCTAGGACTGTATTTTTTATTATTTGATTATCTTCTTTAAAAAAAATAATTAATGAGTATGTGATTATATTGGCAAAAAATTGATTATGTGATTATGTGATTACTTGGACACCCCCATGAGGGACCTCATTTTACGGCGGACTATTTTAAATTGGTAATCAATTGCAAATCAACTAAATTTGATTGATTTCAGTCAACGCTACAGTCGCTACTGTTGCAGCTGGTGCAGTTATATTGTAACAGCTGAAGACATTTCAAGAAATATATTAGTGACCTCAAACAGGGATTTAACAGCATTCATTTAATACTATTAGTAACGGGCCATCTTCATTGTTGGTATGGTCAGAGTATGTAAATTTCGAAATATTGTTTTTTTGTTTCACTAAAAAGACCAAAATCAGATTAAATATAGCTTGGAACTTAAAATAAACTCATCATAGATACAATTAGACAGTTTATGAGATTATTTTGGTAATGAGAAATGAATATTTATAATATACCATAAGCAGTTTTGTTGGATAATTGGTACATTTCATTAGTCAATGAAGATGTAATTTTTCTCATACAAAATAAGGTCCGCCTTCATCACCGTTAACAAAATGATATAAAACTGAAAAGGATGATACCAAATCATTCATATATTTTAAAAACATGGAACCTCCTCAAGTATTTGCAGAGTATTTCGAATACTAAGATTAGGACATGGAATAGAAGTATGCAAATGTATCGTCATGTAAGACGAGAAATATAGTCATGCCAGATGGGAGTAATATAACCTTCAAAGTTTATTGAGTATTTCCAGTATAAAATTAAAAAATATTTCAGTATTAACTATACAGAGGACATGTGAAGCATGCAATGTTTTTCAAGTGAAAAATTGCAAGCATCAACTTTTTAAAAGATGTACGAATATACATCCGGTTTGTTGACCTTTATAAATTCGTTATATCAATATTGTCTGTTTTGAACCATCAGTATCCAATATATAATGGTAGATTAACAGACTAAAGAATGTCGACTACGGGTCGGGGATATGCTTCAAATCGAGTGGAAATCTGCCTTAACACGCTACTTGTGAAAGACTTTCCTGCGATTACATGTAAGCTCGTGAAAAGAATATGTAATTCACCATCCTGAAATTGTGCGTTTCTGGCGAATAAATTCCTAAGAATCGTAAAATAATGTCAAATACGCGGAAAAGACCATACTAATTAAGATTGTACTCGATTTTAACAGATTTACATATATTTTATGTATCAGTGTTATATGCCATCGACACAAAAACTTTTCAAAACAAAAGTACAGTTATTTATAAAAGCCAGACAAGGGATGATATATGGTAGAAAATAACCAGTTATCACAATTTTGGAATGTCATATGAACACAAATAAAAATCAGTCATTTTTTGGAATATATTTCTGTTAATAGAATATAGAAACCACACAGTTGCATTGCGAATGGAAATAACTGTGGCAACTACAGCATAATACATATTAAATGTAAAAAGAACTGTCTCATCAGACCAGACAGATTCGATATTTTTCATTTCTACCATGAATTTAACTGTAAAGTGTAGACAAATTGAAAGCTTTGATACTACTGCAAAATTGTAATTGAATATTTTGTAGTAGATCTTTATAACTTTTCAGAATCAACATCTGACTTACATCATTGGTTGAATATAAGTCATCAAAATATTTTCCCAGAATGTTTAAAATGACTGACCTGTCTATAAACTGCAATTTTAGTTGTATTATTTTTCACTGTGAAGGTGCACAATACAACACATCACTTGTATTTCCAAATATACTTTCTCAATCTTTTTTTATGCCTTAATATCTTATTCAAACGACACAAGCACACACCATCCACATAAATACTATGTTCATATGCCGGATAGCAGAAAGAGGATAATTCAGTTTTGATACCTATAAAATATTTTCATGATTTTGTAAAGTTTTCTTGGTGAAAAATTCTTTATTTTATTTTTTTTTCGTTTTCAGATAACGTTTATGATGCCGCAATATAATTATGCGTAATTGATCATAATTATGCAATAAATGGACCGGTTGATTTCAATCAATAAACAGAAGAAATTATTAATACAAATACTAACTAACGTATACTTTAAATGCAAACAAACGTAACAGATGAATACTCACAACGGTTACCATGGTGATGGCCATATCGTTGGACTGAAATAAATTTAAAAATCTAATTTTAATGCACATATTATGCTACTATATTTAAGCATTCAATTAAATTGGATGAAGGAAAACAAAAAATAATTTATAGTCACACACACACACACACACACACGCACGCACATATAATCCAATATAACCATGACCATCATTTATACGTGAACATAAATTGAGAGTAAGCGACCTTTGAAATAGTATCGTCTATGACAAATAAAACAGTGTATGTTAAACAGAGTGTCTGAGTTCAATTGAAAATAAACTAACCTTTTGTCTTCAACATGGCTACTTCTGATTTCAGGGCCTCAAACTCAATTTCCATTTTACTTTTTGACTTCAACTTGGCTACTTCTGATTTTGGAGCCTCAACCTCTTTCTTAATTTCATTGAATGAGGAGGAAGAGGATTCAAACTCTAACTGGCTGGCGCCAACTGCAGACAAAATGCATACAGTTATACATATTAAGACGAGCTTCATTCTGTCAAGCTTCCTAGCCTCACTTACGAAAACTAAACACCTTATACATGTTATACATACTTTTATAAACGTTAACCGGAAAATGTTTTTTTTTCTTACAAGTGACTTCGACAAACTGGTAACGTATATGTATAAATGATCAATATTATATAAAATAAGGCTTCAGGTTTAAACTGGTAGTGGTAGTTTAAACATTACACATACAATATACCCAGAGGACAGACAAATACACAAGAATGGGCAAACAAACAAATAAACTGCCCCCACGCCTTAGCACAACTTGTTTTAAAATGTCATAATCCGATTACAGATGGTGTAGGATTATATTATGTGCATTCTTTCCTGCGATGAGATTTGATGTGTTTTTGGTTGTCTGCTATTAGTTCAAATGTTCAATAGACCTCAATTATATCAGATTTTTATAGAAGATCTGTCAATCTATTTGCCGAGGTGATGTGTTATTCATCCGTTTCTATTTTACAGAGTTACATCCCTTGTCAAGAGCAGTTAAGTGAGCTTTCCCTGGAAGACATATATTAAGATAAAAGGATTAAAAAGTAAAATGTATCTTTATAATATAAAAGTATGATTGCCAATGAGACTAATCTCCACAAGAGACCAAATGACACAGAAATTATCTACTATAGGTCACCGTATGGCCTTCAACAATGGGTAAAACCCATACCGCATAGTCAGCTATACAAGGCCCACAAATGACAAATGTAAAACAATTCAAGAAAACTAACAGCCTGATTTATGTACAAAATAATTAACGAAAAACAAATATGATATACAGCAACATTATATCGGATATTACCTGAGGAAATGCATTATGACATTACAAAACCTAATGTAAAAAAAACATCTGTAGTTCAGCATTAATTTTGGTTTACAGTTTTTTTTCAAATTTGTAACACTTATGAAGAAAACCATAAGATATAAGAAAGGCGAAAGATACCAAAGTGGCACTCAAACCCATAAGTTGAAAATAAACTGTGATTTAAAAAAATAATAATATAATAATTACAATTATTACAATAAAGAAAATACATTATATACGTATATTCATTAATTGGTATGCATTTAATTCCTTTTATCTTTGGATTATTACACTTATATATATAAGTCCTGGCTTTAATGGAGATTTGTTTTGAGAAGAATTTCATTATGTTATACTAAAAGTGACATATCTATTTGAGAGTACATATTCAAAGGTAGTTAACACTTGTAATTAATACCTGTTTTTTTAAAGATCTAAGCAATATATTTTTGTTTTGAATATTCAGAAATGAGAAACTCTAGAGAAGAGGGAATATCAGACGTCTGATTCGTCACATTTCATACACAAGATATGTGATACAGTATTGTACGCATAGTAAGGTAAGTTGTTTGCTTTTGCATTTGTACTTTCACGAGCAACTTAACGGGTGCCACATGCAAAGCAGGATATAATTAGCCTTCTGGAGCACTAGAAATCAACCCCGGTGTTGTCTAGGGATCCTGATACTCTGTCCTTAGTTTTCGTTGTAGGATTTTGTTGAATTATGTTTTATGGTCTATTTGCTGGCAAAATTTCTCACATTAATGTACATTTTCTTGGAGTCCATTTTTGAGGATTGAAAAATTTGATGATAACCTACATTCTTTGTATTTTCCGTGAGATTCATGTATCACTAAAGTTCCATATTATACCATTTCTTTTATCCTAGAGGGTTTCACATAGAAAATTTAAAGTAAGACAGTAGTTGTTTGTTTTTATGGACAACAGTCGATTGCAAAAAAGTTTTACATATGTTTTACTCGAAAAGAGTCCGTTTACGTGTAGGTGGATGTTCTACTATGAAAACAATATATATATATAAGTTAATCTAATTTGAATCAAATCATGGTCGTAAAGTAAGTAACAGTTGTACCAGTTTAGATTACAAACTCTCCACCCTCAACTGACCTGACAAAGTCTGGATTTGTTCCAGTAATTTACACTTTATATATATAAATTAGAGAATTTTGTTCCAGTAATGTACACTTTATATATATAAATTAGAGCGATTGTTTTCATCTTGCATTGGGTTGTCTTTGGCATAACCTTGTTCACATTTATCAGCAAATTAAACGAGAGTCAAACCATTATCACGCACACATATAGGTTGCACTTTGAAAATACAGCTGTTTCTCAAACCACGCCTCTTTTGGGGAGATATAGAATATTCATAGATAATTAATTTTGTTTACATACCGGTTCCCAGTTACGATCTCTAGGTTTCATCTCATAGAGACATAACTTGGGAATGTTACCAGTAAATATACATATGCATATTGTCTATATAGAAATCTATGGTAATCCCACAGTCAAGGTAGGGGGTCTCATTGGGGGGTTCTGATCCCGCATCCCGCTTACTGTTTTATCAGATTCCCGTATCCCGCTTACACTATGTACGTAAGCAATTCTCATTTTTTTTGTAATTTCCCGTATCCCGCTAGACATCATTTCCCGTTTTCACGGCACAATAATTTGACTTTCACGTGTCACGCTTACAAAAAATCGGCAATCCCGCGTCACGCTTAGACCCCAATGAGACCCACAAGGTAGGGATAGTTAAGAAATTTAGTGTTAGTTTAAACTCTTAGAAGTTCGGGGCATATAAACGTTGAAAATATGCCGCACAGCCCTATATTTTGACCTTTGCAAAAAAATTGTAGTGCATATGAACTTTCCATTCTAGGATATGATTTTTTTCAAAACTTCATAGTAAAAGTGGTACAGTTTTAGCTGTAAAAGGAGTTCCTATGGGAAATTGCATTGTCAATATTTACAGAAATGCAACCTATAGATTTTGTCTAAATTATTATTCTTTAAGATCATATTGTCTACGGCCTCATACACGGAAAAACGATATGGTTTTATCAGCTTTTTGTCGTTTGTATCATGTTTTTGAAAGTTCAAATAGCTTGGCCTCTAGCATCACTGAAGAGATATTAGTTGTCGAAATGCCCATCTGGTGCAGTGAAATTGATATCATTAATGTTAGTTTTTTTTGAAACAGCGCGATTTAAAAAAAAACGATTACAAATTCATCAATTGATTCAAGATCAACATAAATAGATTGTACTAGAAGACGCCCTAGACATCATAATCGCGAGTATATAAATTAGATTATAGTGTTTCATTTCAAATTCACATGTTAACTACTCATTGCCAAAGAATGCATTGCGCGACTCTTTAAATTCATGTCAATTAGCCTACATGTTTCTATAATAAGTCTGTAGCTAATATCCAGCAAATCTCTCATACAAGATACTTTAATAACGTTACAATATAAAGTTTTATCATCAGTCAGAAGAATTGATAAAAAGATAGTTGTCCTAATTGGAATCAAATCATTGTCGTAAAGTAAATAACAGTTGTACCAGTTTAGATTACAAACTATCCACCCTCAACTGACCTGACAAAGTCTGGATTTGTTCCAGTAATTTACACTTGTTGTTAACGTATATTATCGGATATGTTTTTATAAAGTATCCGTTAAATGTATCCTTTGTTTTGAGTACAGGAAAACAATTACAAGTTTGATTTAATAACGCAAAATGTACGATGTTAAATCGCTGGTATGTTGTTAAAGTTGGAGTCATCCTTTTGAAAGATCTATGGACGTCAAATCAAACGTATATGAAAACTCAGTGCTTTTATGTTTTTTGGCCTGCCCCTGATAAGCCAACTTACAATCCTACAAAACACCATCATCATACAATGAATATTCTCCTTCCTAATTGAAAATAATTTGAGAACCATCAAAGTTTTATGTTGAGGTAAATGCTTAAGCTTTTGATCCACATGTATATTTAGGTTACATGCCATAATAAACAAGAAATGGTAAATTAATTTCAATAAAAAAGGAGAAACGTTATTTTTCTCCTCATACTATATAATGAATATCTTTTAAAGATGAAAAAAAAATGAATCATTCAAATAATAAGAAAAATTAACCTAGATATTCTGAAAATATTTTGTGTAAAATAACAAAGACAGAATAAAAAATAATAATAGATAAATAAACGCGAACAAATCTTAAAAAAAACATAACTTTTTTTTTTAATTCATTTCCATGAGTCGTTTTCTTTTACTTTTCTTTAAATTTTTAGATCATTTTTTTTGGTCAAATCGAAAAAAACCCGATATTTTTTAGGAGTAGAAAACAGATAAGTTGTAAATTTCAAAAACATAAATAATTATTTTCAAACAATGAATATCATAAATGAACTTTTACTTAATTTGAATTTTTATATTTTTTACTTTGTTATCTATATCAATTAAAAACAACTTCTTAATTAATAAAACATTTTTCTTTTTTGGACACTTGCATATTATCTTCATCAGTCAATGCATTTCACGACACCTTTCGAAGTAACCTACACGTTTTTTGTATGTTACAGGTACTACTTAAATATCTACACTATCACTATGACTTTGGACAGATATCTATATAAGTGTACCCAGCTATGACACTTCTCACTACATTACATTTGAAGTCTTACTGGGAAAGTTCAGTTATCCCCACATTTTTTGTGTAGATGGCATGCAGTTGGAAACATGTGAATTTCATCGTTCTCATCCTTAAACGAAAATAGAGTCACCTCTCTGGTTAAATTTCCAATGTTGAGGACGGTGATTTTTTACCCCAGGAATAGATAACCTTAGCTTAAACTTTTAGGAATTTTGGGTCCTCAATGTTCTTCAATTTCGTAATTTATTTAGCCTTTTTAACTTTTTTGATTCGAGCGTCACTGGTGAGTCTTTTGTAGTCGAAAAGCGCAACTGGCGTATAGCGCATACAATCCCCTGGTATCTATGATGAGTTTATTGACCAGTCACAACGTTTTGCAGTTTTACCATAAAAACGATCGAAGACCAACAATATATACTACTAAACGAAAGAACCTATATTGTGTGCAGCTGATTTACGGCTTTGAGCGTTCCTGACGAAGGTGAATACAGAAAAGCGATTTGGACACATAAAATTTATAAAGTGTTAATTTTTTCTCGATCTACCAGGTTGAATTAGTCAGTATG